GTTCCCTGATCACCGGCCTGGGCTGGGCGCCGTGCTGCCTCGTAGGAATGTCTCAGCCCCTTCCAGGTTGTCTTAGTCCCACCAGGTTGTCTTGGTCCCTCTGGGATGTCTCAGCCCAACCAAGATGTCTCAGCCCTTCCCAGGTTGTCTTGGTCCCACCAGGATATTTGGGTTCCTCTGGGATGTCTCAGCCCCTCTGGGCTGTCTCAGTTCCACCAAGATGTCTCGGCTCCTCCCAAGCTGTTCTCGGTCCCACCACGATGTCTCAGCCCTTCTGGGCTGTCTCAGTCCCACCAGGATGTTTCAGCCCCTCTCAGGCTGTTCTCGGTCCCTCTGGGATATCTCAGCCTCTCCAGGATACCTCAGTTCCTCTGGGCTATGTCAGCCTGTCCAGGATATCTCAGCCCCTCCTGGTGTCACTTCCTTCCTCCACCTGCTCTGTCTGCATCCCTGGATGTCATCCATTTCACCCTCATCCCTCCCAGCTGTGCCCTGAGTGGCTTGTGTCTGTCTGGTGTGCCCTGAGCCAGGCCCCAAGTGTCAGTGCTGTCTGTGCTCTCTCTCTACAGCTATGACCATGCAGTTCATCAGCCACCGCTTCCCTGAGGACCACGACCCAACCATCGGTAGGAAACCTTGCTCTGCTCTCTGCTGCTCATCTCCCTGGGCAGGGGAAGCTGCTGCAGAGCTTGAAAGTGCTCAGTGTAAATAAATCTGTAGGTTGAGGACCTCAATATCTGTGATCAGTTATTAGGAAGGACATTGCCAGCAGGTCAGGGAGTGATCCTGTCCCTCTGCTCAGCCCTGAGGAGGCTCATCCTGGAGTATTGTGTCCAGGTCTGACATCCTCAGGACAGGAGAGATATGGAACTCCTGGAGCAGGTCAAGGTCTGGGATGATAGGGTAGGAGGGACATGGAATTCCTGGCTGTGTCCAGTTGTGGGATTTTCAGGACCAGAGAGACATGGAGCTCCTGGAGCAGGTCGAGGTGTGGGATCAAAGACCAGGAGGGCCATGGAATTCCCCAAGGTGTCTCAGATCTCTAGGCTATGGCCACATCTCTGTCAGCAATAGGATGATTTTGGCACAGGGAAGGCTAAATCAATACCAGAACAATCACAGGTTCAGGTGAAAGCTCAGGCTGAGGTAGCTCAGTGCTGTGAGCAGGTTGGGTGGTTCTGGGATGGCATCCTGTTTGGGAACTGATGACTGATGAGTCTTGGAATTGCATCCCAACCCTGTTCTCTCCAACCTGCTGGAATCTAGAGGATGCCTACAAAATCCGGATCCGCATTGATGATGAACCTGCCAACCTGGATATCCTGGACACAGCAGGACAGGTATGAGTGGTCACCAGGGGACTGAGAGAGTGCTGAGCAGTCAGGTGTGGAGACAGAAACCCTGCAGATATCTGGGATTCCAAATTGGGTTTGAGCTCTTCTTGGAAGCCTCACATGCTGCCAGTGCCTGTGTCACTGTGCTGGGCCTTTCTCCCTCCTGCCCAGGATCACCCTCTGGGCTGGTAACTCACATGTCAGGGTGGGTTTTGTGGTGAGGAAGACCTGGAGATCAGCTGGTCCTGTGTGAGAAGGCCCAGGGGGTGACACAGGTCCTGCACTTTTGGGGTTGGAATGAGGAACACCACAAAGGCTGCAGGGTGAGCTCAGAGCCCAGAAACCAACCCTGTCCTGCGCTGCATCCACAGGAGTGTGGCAGCAGGTCCAAGGAGCTGATTCTCCCTCTGCTCTGCTCTGGTGAGACAGTTCTGGTGCCTTCAATGTAAGAAGGACATGAAACTGTTGGAGCAAGTCCAGATGAGGCCACAGAGCTGATAAGAGGATTGGAGCAACTTCCCTATGGATAGAGTCAGGGCTGTTCAGACTGGAGAAGAGAAGGTTATGTGGAGACCTCAGAACAACCTGCCAGGAGCTGAAGGGGCTCCAGGGAAGCTGCAGAGGGACTTGCTTAGGAGCTGCAGTTACAGGACAAGGAGCAATAGGGAGAAATTAAGGGAGGAAGTTGAGATTCGATATTAGGAAGAAGTTTTTCCCTGTGAGGGTGGTGCAACACTGTCCCAGGTTGCCCAGGGAGGCTGTGGCTGCCCCAGCCCTGTCACTGTTCACTCCAGGTTGGCTAAAGCCTGGAGCAACCTGCTCTGGTGGGAGATGTCCCTACCCAGGGCAGGAGGTTGAGACTAGATGATCTCTAAGCTCCATCCCAACGCCTTCACACACACTGATACTAGGAATTTCTGCAATTAAAATGCAATGATCTGTTTCTAGGCAGAGTTCACAGCCATGAGAGACCAGTACATGAGGGCTGGTGAGGGATTCATCATCTGCTACTCCATCACAGACCGACGCAGCTTCCACGAGGTTCGGGAGTTCAAGCAGCTCATCTACCGCGTTCGCCGCAACGACGACACCCCAGTGGTGCTTGTGGGCAACAAGTCTGACCTGGCCCAGCTGCGCCAGGTAAGGGCCACAGGCAGCACATGGCACAGCTTCAGAGGCTGTGGAGGGGTTGGAATGGATCTAAGGATCATCCAGTCCCAACATCCTGCCCCGGGTAGGGACAGATCCCACCAGAGCAGGTTGTTCAAGGCTTTGTACAACCTGGAATGAACAG